AACTTCGTTGGTCGAATCTAAAAAACCATAGAATTATTTACGAAAACTGTTGCGCGGGACATTTCTTAAACACATCAGATATTAATTAATTACAATTCATCTTCATGTAATATTAGCATTTCAGCAAAATCAAAAACAGACATATAACTTCAGAAATTAACGTTTGTCTTATCAGTGTTGAAATGACCCCTTTTGGCTATTTTATGTATTTTGTATTTATTTAGTAGTTGTATAAATAATTCCGTAAGTAATGATTTTACTAACCAACTGAAGCGAGTGAAACTTTGTTACAGAATTCTTAGAAATAATTTAGAAAAAGTAAAAAGAAAAAAATATATAGAGAGCTTCGAAGTTCACATGTATCTTCGAAAATAACTTAAGAATTAGCAAAAGCGATCAAAATGACCCTAACCGCACTTTTAGTTTTAATGTTATTTCCATAAATGAGGTAACTTATTTTGTTGCATTTTCTTTGCTTTAAGTGTCAATTTTTGTCAACATAATTAAATATACTTTTATGTTTAATATTTTAGAATAGATCAATTAATATATATTTTATCAGATTCCATAGCATTATGAAGACGATATTAACTCACAACGAACATAAAATCTCTTAATTTCATGCAATATTACTTGAACCTATATATTAAATCTAGTAGAGAGCATTCAGTCTTTTTTCATTGAGTCACTAATCCATAAAGATATCGGTAAATTCACAGCTTGGATGAAATCAATAGCATAATATTTCCGCATAATATCGTTATTGATCGCTTAGTGTATAGAAGTGTATTTAATTACTCACAGTTGACAAGCGAGTTAAATGTGTCTAGACTGTCAATGCTTCATTGGCTGCTTTCTTTTGCTATTCTTTTAACTCAGTATTACAATGATTCAATATTTTTCTTTCTTTCTCGTCCTTTAATCTCTTATTTTAGACGCCCCGTGTATATTGATCTACTTGTATGTTTTTGCTTGAGTATTTCCAAAGTATTCAAAGTGATCATATTTACGAATTCCATTTTTATTTTTTTAATAATTTTTTTAAAATTTATTTCATACGTAATTTTGTCAATATTCATTTTAGTTGTATTCAACTAATTCCCATTGAATGCGTCTAGTGCTTCATTAGCTAGTTTTAGTAAATATTTTTTTTAATTTACTAAGTATTTATTTTAGATTTTTTCTTCTTTAGCTGTATTCAATTAATTCCAATTAAATGCGTCTAGTGCTTTATCAGCTACTTTCTTCTACATTTTCATTTGCATATGGGGTAGTATCTGATGCTCTTGTTTATCTTCATCTCATTGAAATGTCCTACGTAATATGACTGGTTGGTATACTTTAAATCCATGGTATTGAATTCTCAAATGAAATACTGGCACAATTAGTAATTCTTACAAATAAAGTTTATTTGAAATGATTAACAACTTTTTAACAGTTACGAGGTTTGAAGAAAAAATTTAATATATTATTTCATGATTTTTTTAAGAAAAAAGAACTTATTATGAATAAAAGTATTCAAAAAGTATAAATTGGAACCCAAACAAATTCTTTTTCTCGAAGTATTTAAAGTCATATTTATTTACATTAATAATTACATGTTCTAGTATGCAGTAGATTTTTAATGCACTTTCGAGAACAAATATAATTTATCTATAAGCAAATAACTATTACAAACTCACACGTGTTTATCATTCAGACGCAGATAATATTTTGGGTCGATTAATTATACTGCATAAATATTTGTAGATAGAGAAATATTTCGTTGTTTTCATTTCTATATAATGTCATTCTCACTCGACGCATTCAAAACATTAAAAATCTATTAACATGTAGGATTTGCAACGCAAGCCAGTACACTTAAAATAAATAACTTTTGATCTAGGGATTGGATCGACTACTAGCGACGACTTCGTATTAAGATCTGGTTTCTCATGTCCTTCTGACCAGGTCATAATAAGAAAGCGCCTCTAGCCGTGAACGAAGAAATTTCCGGGCATGGAAATTTCTTTGCAGTTTTAATTGTGGTGTTATTCACCTTATTTCACCGCCATGTTTGTCACAAAATTTACACGACCACTTTTTGTAAATAACGTTTTTAAATTCGACAAAATAGATACTAAATATATCATTTAGAAAAACAAAATTGTAGCTTTAGAACAAAACTATTTTCACAAAACTATTTTTTCTAAATTCCCACACTCGAATCAAGCGAGATCTAGTATTTCTAAAAATGAAACAAAAAATTTGTTCGCAAGTACAATGTAGATATAAAGCTTGAGAATAAATTAATCGTGACTTTACATACCATAACTTTATTACTTTTACCATTATACGCCACACGCAAATCTAACCAAAGTAAAATATAGCAAATAACTTCAGAAATTAGATTTATCCATTTTTTCATCAAAAACATTATTATTTATTAATTGGTTATGTAAAATAATGATCCTTCTTAAAAATATGACACAGTTTAAATTTGCTACCTTAATAACAAGGAGTTAGACCAAAAAAAGAAACTTGAATCAAGAAATTTTAATCAACTCCGATTTACTGTCTTTTTTTTTAATGTATGATACGAAATTATGTTTAAATGAAAATTTTTTGTTCAAAAATCATAATATTATTAGTAAATAATTTTACCTAAATATGCTTGAAAGTCTATTTGCACTAAATATTTCTTCATCAAAAATATCATATTCTTCAGAATTCATTATTCTTGTTTAACAAAACATTCTTTTAAATTTTAGAAAAAAACATTGTATTACAGAAACCCATTGTTTTACGCTCAAATTTTTTTTGAATTTATTATAACCAAATGAAAAAAAATCCCTTTTTGGTAATTTCTTGTAGCTTCTAAGTTAAAAAAAAGTTCTGCGAATTTCGTACTGAAAGACCCACAGGACCACTTTTTTGTAAGTATTATTGATACATTTTAGGAATAACTTGTAAAAGAGACGGAGATGGAAGTTAATGAAAAAAAAAACAATTTGTACACAATCTTAAGCAACGTCTGCTTTCAAAATAAAAAGTTAATTATTACATTGAAAAAAAAGTATTTGTTGAGTTTGAAGAGTTATGCAGTTATGAGATGAAAATAAAGGAAAATTGTTTCAATTTGCATATAAATTAGAAAATTCTTTTACTTAAAAAGCGTTGCATTTTTGGAAATTTCAAAATACAAGAAAAATATTTTTTTTCTGAGAACTCTTTATCTTTCAGATATTTATGAGGCTTACCTTTGCATTATTTTTTTGTGTCTCTTTTATTTTTTTATACATCTGCATTATTTTCATTTCATATTATTTTTATTTTTTATAAATTATTTTTTTCTGCTTTTGAAATGAATTATTAGTAAAATTTTGACTAAATGTTACCTTATTTTAAGCACATCCCTATACTTTGAAATTATCGACAATACAAAATTAGTTCTAAGGCACTTTTTTAAATTTATTTATATTAAATAAACATAATTGATAAATAAATAAAATTACATACATAAATAAATAAAATTATTAAATATATATATATATATAAAATTTAATTTTTTTTCTAAATTAATATTTTCTTCGTGAGATTTACCTTAAGATTTTACTTTAGACTACTTCCAATCCAAAAAGGTATTCAAGAACAATAACTAGTTTTTCCTACTCATCTCAATACTAAATGCTTTGATTCCTTATTGTTTATGGTGTAATTATTATTCTTTGGCTTATGTTTTTATTTTTAAGATTATTTGTATCGGAAATCTCTCATATTATTTTTTTTTACTCAAAATAAAGGAGTTCAAATTCTTATACCTTATAGGGGATAAAAATGCACATATTATTGGGTGGGGTGGATAATATAGTCCTTTTCTCTAAAATTACTGAAAATTATTCATTAATTAACAGCAAGCGAGCCGCAATGACTCAGGGAATACAGCGATCTTCTCAAATTGATGTGATACAGGTATGAATCTCAGGGGTGGCTGGTTGATACAAATTCTGCACCCGGCTCGCACCAATAACACTGCTGAAGTAAAATACCCTCAGTGTTAAGCGGCTAATTGGTTAGAACTACATTACTGTCAGACTAACCGCTGGGGATTTTCATGATTTTCATCTCCATGCCATCTCAAAATCCGGGTTGGTTCCATCAAGAAGTCTACCAGGAAGGCTAGCTTGTCACAATGTTTGATTAAAGAGCTCCCTTGTCGTCTAAGTTGGGCTCAAAATTACAAAGCTGTGGAGTCATACATTGATAGTTGAAAAATCAAAATTGGGTAGTCTGTTCAACGACGCAGTTATAAAATAAAGTTATTTAATGTCTGACCTATAGACAGTAACTAAATTTTCAACAAAATTTATTGATGCTCTTTTAAAATAATGGACTTAATTTTCTTTATACTAAAATTCTAATTCAATCTAATATTCATTAGTAATTAAAAAATTGAAAAATTTATTAGAAGAAAAAGAACAAAAAAAATTAGTATGAAATTACTAAAAATATACATAAAATTTGTATTCACTTGAAATAGTAATTTCAACTCATTTGACAAATTAACTATTCGAATTTATCACTTATTTTTATAGTCTAGTTCATGAGTCCCACACTTTATAATTGATAAGCGCATTTCTCGGAGAAAAAAAATCAAGACATGATAAAAAAAAAATATTTTTTAGTATATGTAAATAAACTTTTCAGAACATTTACAACATTTAATTCAAATAATTTGAACATTAATGCTTTGAAGAAAATTAAAAGAATTGATTAATACTCGAAAAAATTTAAAAAAAAAAATAAGAAGAAAATTATCTACTTAGCAATCAGCACTACAGAGTTCAAATAAGACGTAATAATAGGACGTTTAAATAGTTGCAAAAATCATATCAGAAATTAAATGCGTTTCCTATAAGTTACTGTATTTTCAGTTTTTATAAAATTCTTACAAAAACTCTAAAATACATTTAACCGTAAAAACAATATTTTTCTCAGTTAATATAGATTAAAACAAATCATCAATTCCTCATATTTTTTATTGGATATGTCTCCGTTATCATAATTAACACAAATATTACATTACGAACACATTTTCTAAAATCATTTGCCTTCTTTATAAATTCGGGAAAATATTAATATTGCATTCTCGTCTACTAACATTCTTCACTTGATGAATCATCATCTGGTTTTGTACAAACATTATTAATGCACTGCAAGCCTTTAGCACATTCTCTATCTAACGGTACTCCTCTATAGGGTGGAGGACCACAATTTCCACCTTCACCTAAAAAGAAAAGAAAGCACATTAGAACTTAATTAATTTTCAAAAGTAATTTAGGATTATTAAAGTCAGGATTATATACAAAGTGTTAGAACAAGCTCATCTATAGATTACGAACAGAAAAACTGTTTTACTAATTTCAAAATTTATTTTCTTGTACTTACTAGGCCAAAAGAAAATCCCGTTGATTAAGTTTGATCTCTTCGGAAGGAATGGTCCAAGGCGACAGAAGAGCTTAATGATAGATTTTTGAAATTTGAATTGCCCACTTGAACAAAAAACTTGATGCAATGAAGATGCTTGAGCTATCTAAAATAGCCATGGGCTATAACAACCTTTTTATTAGTCAATCAGAGGTTCTGGCCTACACAAGAGGGCTCCACGACGCAAAAAAAGCGCAAAAAAACTTGAGAACGTAATTGAAAAGAGTGCAAAGAGAGTGCAAAAATCCTACGCGGAAATTGCAAAGAGCGGAATCAAAATGGGAACCTCAGGGGTGACTTCGAACCACGTGCTGGTCGTTCGTCCTGCCGTCCCGTGCACCTCTGAAGAGACTGAAAAAACCCTAAAAGAGCATATTGACCCATCGGCGTTAGCTATTGGTGTGAGAAATATAAGACCAATCGAAGAAGGAGGTATTGCAGTTCGTATGGTGTCCAAGAGGGACGTGAGGAAAGTCCAAGAAGAAATCGCAGACCAAGGTCTAGATTGCAAACTAAAATGCTCAACGCCTCCAAAGAAATTTCCAGGAGTCATACTTTTTAACATCGAGAATAGAATCGAAGAAGAAGAGCTAAAAGAGAAGTTAAGTGACCAAAATAATTAAATGGAAAAAGAAAAATTTGAAATCTGCTTTTCTATAAAATCCCCAAAAATTCTATAAAATCCCCTATTGGATAATTCAGACTGATCCGAGCGTATTTAAGAAAATGATGAGAAAGGGAACACTGAAACTTGGTTGGTCCATAATCCGACTTAAAGAATACCTAAGACCTCTTAGGTGATACAAGTGCAACTGCTTCGGACATATGGCACGTGACTGTACTAAGACGGAAGGCTGTTCTAATTGCGGCGAAGAAGGACACAAGAGAAGTAACTGCAAAAATAAGAGCAAGTGCGTTAATTGCGAAGCGGTGAACCGAAGATTCGGTTTATAACTCAACCTGAACCACTCAGCACATCAAAGAAATTGCCCATCTTTTCAACGAGCAATAGCAAGTCTTCGATAGAAAATCAAATACTAATCAAATACTACCCATTTATTTGTTAGCCGTTTAATGGCGTCCTCCACCCCTTCTAAATGTGCTAAACTTTGAGATAATGTATTTCAATTTTTGTTTAACCACCGAACTGGTGGCCCATTTTGTGATTTGTATTTTTAATAAAGTTCTAAAGGGTTTTTGGAACCTTCCGATCAGAGGATGCCTCGATGGGTCGTCGTGTGACTGCTGTCTGCTTGGTGCCACACTCCTAGTGAGTCGTTTGCAGCTGAGTATGGCACCGCCGCACCCGACTAGGGATTGTGCCCTTCGGCCTGCTCTGCCCATCGAACGATTGTGTTGCTCTTCGTCGGGCGTGACTTGGGGCCATGGATCCTCGTGTCCATGCACCGTTGGGTCCTCCGACTGATTCGAGGATTGCACCAACGATAGTCTCCAGTATTTCCCGGATGCCCCCTACGGGGGCTGGTCAGGGTCAAGCATCGCTCTTCGGCCCCTTCGATGCTGTAAGTGCAACACTTTTAGCCACATGGAGAAGGACTGTGAGAACGAGGAGGTCTGCGCAAAATGCGGTTCGACAGGACATAGAATGAGCGACTATAAATCTAAGAGTAAATGCACTAATTGTGCCATAGCCAACAGCAAATTTGGTTTAAATCTGAATACGAATCACCCAGCATCAAAAAGGTCATGCCCATCGAACCTCAGGGCGATTGATAGACTCAAAACGAACATCCATTACTGAGCCCTCGATTTTGTGAGCCCAATCGGGCGTCCTCAATCTGTTCTTGTAAATATTACATTGATTGTGAGATCACAGTTGCGATAAATTATTTTTGATTGCATTTTTAATAAAGTTTTGCTCAGACGTGCGTGACTCGGGGCAAAGAACCCTCGTGTGTCCATGCACCATCGTCTTCGCTGGAGGAGCTTCGTAAATGAATTCGAGGAACTTCGTAACTCCGGTCACCAGTATACTCCAGACAGTCACCAGTGTACTCCGGAAGCCCCCTGCTGGGGGCGGGATTGGTTAAGCCATGCTAAGTGTTAGGCTTACATGTTTACATATCAATGCGTGCAAAACGTTTCTATATTAGTACTTGGTTTTGATTATTTTTGCGTCGCTGTTCTTGTTTTTGGATTAAAAACAATTAAACTTATTTTAAAGATTGTCAAAACAAGCTTAAAGTTAATTTTCGCAAAATTGATGAGCAATCGAATTGATTATTTTTTACATGAATACTTTCTAAGTATAGGTAACACGCATATCTATAAATTATGAATGAAAGAGAGGTGCGTCTTTGAATTTAATATTAGTTTTCAGATACGTTTAAGGTCCGACTACACTCACGCTTAATAAATTCGATATAAGTGCAAGTTTACATTAGCCTGAATTTTTTTGAATTATTTTTGATCTAGACTTAAGTAAGTTCATTTAAAATTTTTCGATTAAAATATAAAATATTTAGCTCCAATTAAGCAATATATTTAGTTCCATTTCATAGATTTTTACAAATCTTTTCTTTAAATTATATTTTTAAACAGAAGTAATTGCATTTTCGATCTATAAAACAATTATTTTGAACGTTATGAAGACACAATTTTTTGTAGTGGAGTAAAATTGACATGGAGCGTTCGTTATTTCCAACTTCTAGATTGTCCTTAAAGTATTTTATACATTTTATAAGCTTTGCTGTAAATTTATAATATTATGACTATGGTTTATAATGATTTATATTTTGTTTAACTTTAAATTTATAATTGCATTTTATCATTTTAAAAAATGAGTATAAACCATTCAGTCACCTTAGAGTATTATCAAAAGAATATACTTATTATAGAGTTCTTTCTTTGGTCTCAACTATATATCAGTCTTTCACTTCTAAATTTAAAATTTTGTTTAGCAAGAAAAGAAAAGTAAAAACTAAGTATTATACCAATTTCAGTATAGCACACATCACAGCATTTGCAAAGACCTCCCTTCTTTTTCACTTCATTTGATTCACAATGTACTTCTTCGCATTTAGCATTTTTGCAAAAATTTTTTGTACATGCAATTGACTGTGCAATTGCAATGAGAGCCAAAAATATAATAAGTTCTTTGATCATTTTCTAAAATTGCCAGGTTTCTAAATGAAAGGGAAAGAAATAAATTGTTAAAAAAATTACATGTAAAAATAAAAAATAAGTACGGATCATGCCTAATTAATGTTTTGAATATATAAATTCGATTTCTTGTATTAATTCATTTCAAATAAGCTTTAATTAATTGTCGATTAAAATATTCTTTCTTGATTTTAAAATAGAGCTTAATAATAAAGGAGTGCGATTTTGTGTAGCAACGTAAATTTATATGACATCCTTGTACTATATGTTTCTATTTAATTTTACAAATGACATATAAAGCCACACAAAAAATATTAAATAATTTATAGTATTTTTTAACAGTTCACGCAAGGAAATAAACCATTTTTTTTTTCAAATTGTGCTGAGATATATTTCGCTTTTTCTGTTTATTTCTAAATTGCAGTGCATATCGTGTAGTAATCATATTCAGTATATAAGAAAAAAATTATATTGGATTTACATGAAAAAATTGAGCCCTGACACCATTCCTGCAAATTTTTATGAAAATTGACCACTTGAATGCAAAGAAGATAATTTTTTTTCAATTATTCACATTTTTCTTTTCCCATTATTAATATTTTTCGTTATTTATCGTTTTTTTTTTAATGGAAAGCCATTTATTTGATTAGATTTTAACTTTTTCATTTCGTATGTTGGTCTATAGAGATGAAAATTTCAAAAACAAAAATAGTTGAATCAAGGAAGGAAATTTTTCTTTACTAAATTTCGAAAATGTTATTTGAAATGATATTTTTTAAGTGAAAATTTTCGCTTTTCGCTCATTTTTACCTTATATATTCTAGCTTCTATTCACCCATTTTCTCATTAAAACATCTTCTTCTAAATAACAAATACTTATCAATATTTTTTCAAGCGAGTAGGTAAATGATGAGGTACCGGCAAACAGGAGGGTTCCTTATTTTAATTCTTCCATTTATTCCGAGGAACTAGAGACATTGAAAGTCTTGATAGATGTACATATTTAACATAAAGGCAGATTTTGAAAATATTTACCTCTTCAAATTCTGAGGGAAAACTGAAAAGCTAAAAGTCGTGTTCTTTATTTTTCTTACAATTTCTTAAAATTATTTCATACAAATTTCAGCTTTCAACCTTATTTTTCTACCCCTAAAGCCTGTAAAAAATGAAACTTTTCACACATCATTTTGGAGAAAAAAACGGTGAAGTGTGAGAGGCCTTGGAATACGCGTAATCAAATTTTAAGAGATTCACAATATTAAACGTTACTGAATTCACTTTTGTCACCCACTTTTATACAAAAATAAGGTCAATTATTTCAATTTTAGGGTTAAAAAGTTCAAAAATACAAAATATGCAGAAAAAAAGTTCAAATACTGCGATAAAGAATATCTGAAAATGGTTAACGTCCCGATGTTAAAGAAAAATATTAAAACTCTATCCTAAAACTCACTTAATCTGACTTCTGTTCCTATATTAAAACCTTCAACATGCCCATTAGAAAAAAATTTAGTGGTTAGAATAATCACCCGCCCTCGAAGAGATCTCGAATATTTCGCAAGAAAATTTGAGTGATTCAGAGTACAAGACTTTTCTGAAGGCCTTTTCCGATTTTAACCAAAATTGTGGTTAATTATTTTATTATTAGGGAGTGTTTTGATGGGTAAAAGGAAAATTTGAAACAAGCATATGTAAGAAAAAAGATTAAAAGGAAAACAAAGCACAAACTCAAGCTCACCACTGAACCTTAAAAATTGTGCAAGTAGTTACAACAGTTATAATATTGTTAATACTTTTAACTTCTTACACAATTGTCTTAATGCAACAAAGTATTGACGGTTAATCCAAGTTCGAAATATTTTTATAAGAAAATTTATACTTTATGACAATGTTTTACTTTATCTAACTTACTAGTGTGTTTACTAGTAGCAGTTGGAGATTTTACTACCTCCCGAATAACTTGGAAGGAGAAATTTCAGCTGAGGATGTTTGCTGCTCCAAAATATCAGTTTCAATACAAACATACCTTATTTACTCGCAATTATAATTTATATAACTTGCTGACATAAATAACCGAAACCGTATGACAATTATTCATTCATCCTGTGAAGAAAGTAATCCTGTACAATAACATACATCAATTGTTTAACAATAATTAACATGGATACAAAAATAAAAAGACAGTTATCACATTTTCTTTCCTTCTTCTTTTTTATGTATATAAGACAGTATTAATACATTAAAAATATTACATTTTTGCTGATTGATTATTGAGAAAAAGGAAATCTTAGCTTAATCGATAAAAAGAGTTAAGAAAGTTGCAAGTTAAAACATTTTTTTTAATAATTTGATATAATCCTAGTGAATTTTAACTTTGTTCTTGCTGTCTTTATTTTTACTGATGGATGAAATTAATTATTAATTATTAATTAATGGATGAATTTAAAGGATGAAATTTTTATTTCATCCTTTTATTTACTTTTTTACTTATTTTTTAATTTTAATATTTTGCAGAATTTCTGTACCCCACTTTGAAAAACATAAATAGAGTAAATAAAATAAATAAGTAATATAAAAATGAAACAAACAGAAAGAAATAAAATAATGAAATTAAAACAAAATAAAATGTACAGAAGTTCAATTAATAAGGCTATACAAGACACATTACTGACGTATTGAAAGTTTCATTTCGGATATAGGGTTGAATATTGCCTAATCATAAATTATGGCTTAATTCAAGAGCTTTCAAATGGAAGAAACAATCCCTTTAATAAGAAAAATTATTTGAAAAGAAAATTACATTGACATGTATTTTAAACAATTCATTAAATCTAATATAGTTCCAACAATCCAAGATTCTTATTAGCAAAATATAATTTTAAAAACTTTACTTTTCCAATGAAAAAAAAACAAAACAAAGCATTTTCGAGCGAAAAATTAAGCAATAAAAATTATTTTCTTTTTATAAGAAAAATTATATTACGAAAAATTCTAAATTATGTTAAAAATCAGATTTCTAAACTACTAAATGAATTAAAATTCTTAATTTTATTTGAGTATCTAATTGAGAAAAAACTCAATATGACTGGATTATGTACTCGTACTTAACAATAGTATTAATAATATTAGGAAAAAAAAACAGATTCTGTAAACGAACTCTTGTAATTTAAAAAATAGAAAATCTTTAACACCCGTATAAAAAAACAGATTATGAAAATTCCATTTTTTTAACTATTAAAGGAAAGAAAATCCAATTTTATTTAAAAACTATTAAAAAATATTCAATAGGACATACATCGTAAAAATTATTTTAGGAACAAAAAAATACTATATCCTTATAAATTGATTATAAGATAAAATATAGAATACAATATAAAAAGATGAATATGAAAAAAATTGAAGATAATTTAAAAAGTAGAATATACTACACAATATAAAATATATGATACGCAGTAGAATATAAGATAAGTTTATTATATGTTAAAAAGTAAAATATTATTTAAAAAGTGGAATAAAATGTAAAAATTATAGCATAAAGTCTAGAGCAGAATATAAAATTAGAGTAGAATATAGTATTAAAATCCTTACCTTAGCTAGAGGACGAAGACAGACTACTTTGAAGATGATTAGTAAAAAAGTAATCAAACGCTTTCCTCTTACGAAATAAAGAAGTGCTGGAGACTCGTGCTTAACTTCTTATTGGATCTAAAATTGAACTGCTGAACCAATACGTCTGACTTTTACAATTTTAATGACTCTTAGTACCATCAGTCATAACTCAAATACAATTTCTTCAGATTTTGTTTGATCTATTACGATAATGAAGCAATGTAATTACAAATCGTGCATGATGCAATGTCAATCATATTTTCACTTGATTAAAAAGATTCTTATCCTCTTTTTACTCGTGCATCAACAATTTTCCATTTATCCATTGAAATTGAAAACTAGAATGAATATTTTGCACCTGTCTGAATTGAAGATTGAATAAAAGATTGCTTATTATTCGATATTATAAAATTGTTTCAGTTGATTTTTCATGTATTGTAAATGGTAAGTTAAATTGCTTATAAGTTTATTTACTTAATAATGAGTTAGAAGAATTATGTATTGTACTAATACTATTCTTAAAAAAAAACTGAAACACTATATTATTTCTGTTATAATTCGCACAAATGATCATTCACGGTGGAAGTTGCCGGTACTATTTTTTTATTAAAATATTCTAAAATTACAATTAGGAGGAGTTTGCTACCATGTTAAAGGGTCTTAAAAAGGAGCAGTTTCATTATTTTTGTGGTTGCTAACACCAAGCGCTATCTGTTGATTGTTTAGTATACTTATCATGGTTGTTGAACAACCTACTCAATTTTGAGAGTACGCCTACCAATGAACTCCATAGCCTTTTAATTTTGAAACTAATTCCGAAGACAAGGGAACTCCTGGATGTAGTATTTTGAGAAATTTGTATTCGTGGATGACTTTTAGATAAAATTAACCGGCATTCACGTTACATAGAGAGGAAAATCACGAACACTTCCAACGGTCAGCCCGGTGGCAAGATGACTCTAACCAATGATCCGTCTACCACTAAAAATATTTTTCTTCCGCCCTGTGGGCGGTCCGAGCCGTGTGTGGAATTCGTATCGACCAGAAAGCAATGCGAGTCGAACCCGGGTAACCACATTGGAAGGCGATTGCTCAATATTCTGATCACCACGGCTCGTTTTGTATACAGAATTAGAAAATGGCTATCTTGACCGTACGCTAATTAGTATCAAAATAAGATTTTGCAAAAACAAGCGTTAAACAGGTAATATTTCCCGAAAGATTTTTTTCTAAATAAACTCATTATGAATAACGATGACGTGTTAAGTGTTTTTAATTTGTTTCAGATAGCATATAGAAATGTTAAATCATTGATATTTAGCCATTGGTTGTAGACTTTTAATTTCTGAATTCGAAGATCTATCATTTAACAACTACTAATTACCTTCAATAAACTAGCATGAGTAGCTATGGATAAACAAGTTGCCTAATCATTTTGCAAGTGTTATAATATAATGCCCTTTTGAATGGGAATTTAACTTAAGTTAAATTCAAGCCCTTTGTATGTATCTGTTTACTATTCTTTAACATAAGTAAAAAAATATATACAATAAAATAGATTTAGTACAAACAAGAAAATATTGTATCAGGAAAAATCGGGTGGAATTTTTTTTTTTGTCGATTAAGACCTGAGTGGTGTCGAGTTAGAGCACACTGAAGAACATAGTGGCTAGAGTTTTGCATGCTTGGTGGACTAAGTGCCCGTTTGTATACTTGCAGTTAAAATTAGGGCGTTTTTCACCGGTTATTAATGTACCAGTATTTCACGTGGCTCTTCCCTTGATGGCATTAACCTGTGAACGTAAAACTTTATGCAATTAAATATGTTGCATGAACAAACGCATTGCTAAAATTTAATTACTCTACAATACTTTTTCTTGGTGTTGGAATTTAAAAAAATTTAAAAGAAAAGGTTAGAAAGGTTAAATTAAAATATTTTATTAATATTTTCATACTGTAAATAAGGGAAAATAAAAATAATTAATTCTGTAATAAAACAAAAAATATGTGCTAAGGATTAGCTTCATTATTAGCATAGAATATGACAGAACGCCCTGGGATTTGAACGCGTACTCTTGGTATAATCTTGACACTACATATCATCCCACAGGACCATGCTCATCTGTCTGCGTAATGAGAATCAAACTGCTATTTTATTTTTATGGTTTTGCATGGGATACAGAATAGAAATATTATGGCCATTTGTGCAGCACCTAATTCATTGTGTGAGCCTTAATTCATCTGTAATTTCCCATCTTTTCTCAGTGTGTGTGTGTGTTTAATACGTTATAACAAATGATCTGACCAGTTCAAAATAATGACTGTGCATTTTTTATGTGTATTTAGAACACGCGCTATAATTCTCTATAGTAAATAAAATAGTGACTTTACAATTACGCCCCCCTGTGCTCGAACTTATTTGCCTATAATTTTGAGGCTTATCTTCATGTGCAAGTGTAATAATAAATAGGGCAAAATTTGAAAATTTTAAGTTAATTTAGAATCGAAAAGTATGCCTTTTTGTATATGCGGAGAAAAAACTTTATAGTTTGTCTTTTTTGTGCCCGAACTAACTATTTTATAATTTTGAGACTTTGCTTCCGTTTACTTGCAGTAAAATAGGAAGAAGGGAAAATTTTTAAAATTATAGATTAATATAAAAGTATATGCATATTAATGTATACGTAGAAAACAAAAGTAATTTTATTTTTCATAGTATTCCGACACTTTCTTACATAAAAGGGATTATAGTGAGAGATAATTTAAAATATTTTATTAAAATGAACATACTGTAAACTAAAAAGAAAATATATTTTAAACTCTGTAATAAAAGAAAAAAATACTTTCCAATAATTAGTCTTCTTACTTACGATGCGAAAGTACGCCCCAGGGGTAGAACTCACGTACTAGAAATCGACAGTTAGTCTCTTCATACTATACCGCGGGCCAGGCTCAGGCTGCTTAAAAAAGAATCAAGTTTCAATGTCAATTCGTGTTTTTATTCGTGCATTTGCATAGGACAATGGACCCATATTGTGCCACATTGTGCAGCCTTTAATTCTTCTTTAATTTTTCAGATTGGCATAATAAATAAATACGTTATAACCATTTATCTGACCAAGTTTCAAAATTATAGATTAATATTAAACGAAGCTATTTATTATGTATTGTTGGAACATGTACTATATTCGTCTATTGTTTATAAAGGGAATATTGATCTTCCATTTCTTCACCCTCGATCCTGAACTACTTTGTTTATGATTTTTTTAGCCTTGCTACGTGCTTTCTCACAGAAAAAAAATTGGCAAAGTTTGGAAATGATAGGTTAATTAAAAAGCAACGTATAGACATTTATGTAGTAGCCTAAATTTCATAATAAAGTGCATGATTCAAAATTTGACAGATCTTCACAAAAAAATTACCCTACGAAAAAATTACACTCAAAACTGTGTTGATGAGTTGATGATGCAAATGAATAAAAACAAATATTCTAGCATAATAAAATAACAAAGCAAAAACTTTTTTTTCGGTTTTCAACATACAAATAAACAGCAGGTAAATATTACAATGTATTCTCTAAACATTATTATAAATACTTGCTTTTATATTTTTATCTTTGTTACTTCAAGATCAAAATCACTTGTAGTTAAACTTATATTTTGTATAAAAAAGTACTTAGTAATGACTTAGTAAATAAGAATTTCAATTGTCTGATTTTTTTTGTAATTTCTTAATAGTTTTACCTAGTAAAATTCGATCAAATCGATAGTTCTTTTCAATTTTTTGCTCCGAAACTTATATTTAAAAAAGCATCTATATTATTGAAAGGTAAATAAATAAATGGGTGGATGAATTTAATGAAAATGTAATGCATTTTTTAAAAATAAATTTGATTTAAATATCAATAATTTTTTAAAATAATGACTATGCTGAAGACTACCAGAATATGGTAAAATGTACCGTGTTTCTTGCATTCTGGAATAGCCAAAAAATTCGGTTAATTTTAGTGTTCTGCTTATAATTTTGGTAAAATTATCAATAAAATAAGGTTTTATAGTGCGTGATAACATTTAGTAAATATGGTAAAATTTGGTAGTTTTATCAAGATGCCTTAGAGCATGGCATAAAAACCATTTATTCGCATAAATTTACTTTTCTGCTCTGTATTTGATAATAAATATGCGTTTATAAGAACTATAATTTAGAAAACTTAAATTTCCAAAAAACCGATACCATATAACTAATAAATTACCTAAGGAATAGTTTAAATACCATATGTTTCGTTTTTTAATACCAAATTTTCTTTTCCAACAGTATCAAAACCATAATGAGCCAGATTTTTTTTCTTAATACCATAGAACTAATAAATTACCTAAGGAATCGTTTAAATACCATATGTTTCGTTTTTTAATACCAAATTTTCTTTTCCAAAAGTATCAAAACCTTAATGAGCCAGATTTTTTTCTTTCTCGAAGTAGAGCATCGTTACGGCAAAAGAATTGTATGTTTCTTATCTATTTCATTAATTTAGGCAATATATAGCGCTGAAAGCAGTGATTTCTTCACTTTTACAGAAAATCTAGAAATTTAGAAAAAAAATTCCGAACTTTTAAATTTTCTATTTAAAACAATAATTTCAAATTCTGAAATAAATATGTTCCAAATTGTGGAATTATGATTAAAAAGCCTTAAATTCTATAAAAAACATTAGTTTATTTTTATTAGTAATATTAACTTTACAATTTAAAGCTAGTAAGTTTATGTTGATTAATATTTTAAACAATATTATATATTGAATGACACATAACGCATAGTGAACTTTGAACTAATAAACATTTAGAAACAGCTTGAAGTTCTGTATTCATATTAATTTAATTTTGAAATGTATGTTTTACAGTTGCACACAAATTTGTCTTAAAAATACCATGTTGTTTTTAGTAAGCACTGATAGATTTTATTTGCTGATAAATAACGATAAACGGTGAGTAGAAATTTACTTTTAATGAATAATTTTTAAGTTTTCCCCAAAAATAATTTTACCAAACTAAGTTTGTAATGATTACTGTGAATAAAGTTTGGTAAGCATAAAATAAAATGATAAAAAAAAAACTATTGGCAACATTTGATTTTAACATAACGTTTTACAATAATATATCAACAAATCTGAATTAAAATATTATTGCTGTAACCTGCCATAGAAATATGCCACAACTATATTATTTTAATTTTTTAAAAGTTAAAGTATTTAACTCACTTCTAATAACATTTGTACTTGTATTTTTGAAATAAAAAACTTAATAATATAACTGAATAATAATGCTTATATTATAAACTATAAAAATATGAAAAAAAATCGATTCATATTGCGATTTCCTTACACAATCACGTACGACATGTCCTGTAGCTATAATAAATACAACTAAGGAAAATTTCTGTTACTTCAA